TTTGCGTTTCTCGGGCCCCGTGTCCCCGCAGCCATCCGTGCCCGGGGCGGCAGCCGGTGCGGAGCCCGCACGGTAACACGAGCCCGGGGCGCTGCGGCCGCCGCGATGTTATTTATGTGCGGCACGTCGGGGCCGGGAGAACTCGCCGCTTTTCCGTCTGGATTTCGGTTCTCGCTGCAAATCCAAAATGGAGCAGTCATGCTCCTGTGGGTGTGGGAGGCCGGGCGAGGCGTGCGCCGGGGGGGCGGGAGGGGGGGTGACTCATGTGCTGCCGCTCCGCAGCTCCCGGGGCTCCTGCGCGGCCACAAAAGGCGTGAGCCAAAGGCAGAGGTGACATCGCCCTCCTGGCTGGCACTGAAAACGAACACCAGGCACCTGGAGGAGCCGCGGGGGGAAGAGGGCACTGATAAATGAAGCGGTGGATTAAGGTATCAGATGTTTCCTGCTGGGATTTAATGCCCTAAAGGACAATGCATTATACGTATTAAAACTGGGCAGGTTTCGCTCTGGGTCAGCCCAGCGGCTCCCTGGGAAGCCGCTCACACGGCACAGCAGAGCTGAGCATCCCTGGGCACACGGAGTCCAAGAACGGCCACAGGACATGGGCACCACGGGCACCTCTCTGTGCTGGGGACAAAAGCCTCACGGCCAGGAACAGCCCTCGCACAAGGTGATACTTCTGTCAGGTAAAGCGGTGTGAGACTGAGCTGTGCCTCCCTTGTCAGCCCCCCCTCCTACAGCACTCATGGGGTCCTTGTCTTCCCCTGACTCTCCTTTTTGATGGAGGGAAAGAACAAAGCCAGAATTTATTTTAATTGTTTATTGTATAATATAAAACTACAAAAGTAAGACTGCTCATTTCCATGTACATTTGTCCAATTGTTTTTTGATTACAGCCCATACCTACATGTGAATACAGTAATCTGGTTTCAGATGTCTGTAATATTGCATAGAAAAGGCACAGCTCTAAGGTCTGTGGGAGGGGAAGGGGAAATACAGCCTTTTTTCTTTTTTCTTTTTTTTCCTTTTTTTTTTTTGACAATAACAAGCCCTGTTCAAACAACCATGCACTGAACATGTCACACTATTTACACCTTTTCCAGAATCTTGGCCTTTACAGGCACTAGTATGGAATATGCTCAGAACTAGACAGGAGTTGAGGTTAGGATTTTATCTGCAATTTGTGTTTTTAAAGAGGTTCCAGAACTTGCATTAGGCTTATTTTCAGAAAAAGAAAAAGTGCTTAAAAAGAACTAATTTATTTTAAAATGTTCAGTCTCATTAATTCATAGAATATCGAAAGCAACTTGCACAGAAGCAGGATACTGAAACCTGATGGGGGGGGAAGGGGAAAGAACAAAACCAAACCAAAAGAAACCCTGTAACAAGAACAAAAAGTTCACAACATGCCAGAGTGAATTAAACCGTTTGTCAGACAGGATCCATTGCAATTTACTCAATTTAATGGTAATAAAAGTGTAAACTTTGGATTCAAAATATCAGTTTTAAATAACCCAGGCTCTTACCACGCAGCATTGAGGAAAAAACCAAATTACCTTTCACAAGGTCCAAATTTCTCCCGACAGTGATTGCTCCAGAGAGTGGCTTTCCTGTCGTGCTGTTCCAGTTGGCTGCAAGGAAGGTGCCAGATCGATGCACTTATAGACAAGGCTGCTCCTTCAAGAGGGACCTTCCCCTTCCTTTGCCTGCAGGGCTGTGGGATCCTGCTGGACTCCAGAGGGACCTGTGGTGCCCGAGGACTGGGTGGTTGGATGCACAGAGCACCGTGAGTGGGCTGGATTTGGGCAGGCAAACCCTCTGCCTGGCCCTACCTCCTGGCAACGAGGTGGTGTCAGCTCTGGCACAACTTCTGGGGCTGGAGGTACCATCCTGCTGCCTTCTCCAGTTGTCCAGCCCCAGGGATTTCCGCTGGGCCTCCCAAGGGTGTTTAAAATAAAAAAAACAAACAAACAAACAAAAACAATCACCTTTTTCAACCTTTTCTTGGCCAGCATGATGGAGGTGATTGCATTTGCTCTTGTAGCGTGCCAAGGGAGGACCCCTTCAGGAAGCTGATGGGGGTAGGAACCTGATTAGGACTAATTTTGAACTTAAAACTGTCCCTCCTCCATACCTTTTTTGCATATTTCAAACAACCAGACCCATATTAGAAAAAGAGTGTAGGGAAAAAATAATCCTGTGATCCATGCACATCCTGACTGGAACTCAGTTCATTCTTTCTGAATCTGGCTCCCATACCCTTTTTCATACAGATTTACATTCCTACAAGAGGATACATTCCTACCATACATTCTGTACATGTTACAATCCAGATGTTGTTAGCTTCACAATAAAATAAATATATTTACAGAAGAAAAAAAAGAATAAATAATTTATGAAAAAAAATCACTTCAAATCCAAAGCTCTTTTATTCTGCTCCCATCTTGTCACTTCATTGCACGTTAATGTCTATCTCCATCCCTGGTGTAGGTCTCAGAGAAATTCCATGCATGGCTGCTGGCAGGACCACGGCAAAGGCCAAACTAGAGACAGCCAGTGACTGTGCAGGGAGAAAGTCACAGCCAAGCCCTTCCTGTCCTGGCCTGCACCAGCCTCCCCAACCTTTTGCTGAGTCTCATAAGTCTCAAGTATGTTTCTGTCCTATGGGATTCCTGTAAGGATTCTGCCACAGGACATGTGCTTCAGCACCAAGGAGCCACAGACATCATCCAAGTGGTGAAGTGGATTCAGAGCTTTGTGGATACAAAACCTTCAACTAACCCCACTTAACACAGGTCTCCAAAATCGGCATTGATGGGAGCTTTTGCCTTCGTGGTATTTGTGTAACTATGTTACTGTGTAAATATGTAACCCCCCCAAAAATGGCAGCTCCAGCACACTGCAAACCAGCTTTTAACCATGGCAAGGCAAGCGCCTACCAAGTTACCACGTGAAACTGGTGGTGCTACAGGTCTGTGCAGATAACACCCCTGGCTAAGGTGTTCCCAGGTACCAGAAGGGCAGAATCAGGAAGGGCTGTTGGTTCTCCCACAAGGGCCAAGGACTGTGGCTGAGCAAGGGCCAGGTGTGAGCCAAAACTGTCCCTCCTCCTTCCCCACCCCTCCCTTCCCATGGTCCCTCAAGCTACACTTGGTCAATGGTTTTCTGTTGGAAGCAATAACTTACTTTCTTTTTAGGCTGTGTAAGGAAATACTACTGCAAATCCATCAGCATCCCAGTGATTCACCCAGTTCAGCTTGGGAAAAAAGAAGAAAGCAAACCCACCCCCTCAGCCAGTGCCCCCCCCTCCTCCCCCAGCCCCACATCTCACCCCGGGAGCCAGAAGCACGTTTTGCAGCTCTACACAATGCATTTCATTTCCATTAGGAGTTCCTTCATTGCAAAAACGGATTTGCTTTTATCCTGTGTCTGTGTGCATATCTACGTTACATCTATCTATATACTAATAAATATATATGGCCTGTTTTAAAGTGCCAATTTATAAAAAAGCCGCCTCCTTAAAAGGCAGGCAAGACCCAATTTCTTCCATGACAAGAAGGGAGCAGAACTGACTGAATATTGCCAAATGACGTAAAACATAATTTAAAATTTCTTAAATAAATATAAAAGTTATTCCTAAAGAAGCCATAGGCATGTCAACAATACAGGTTGTAACCGGCACTCAACAACTAAAGTACCATTGGAAAACTAAAATGCCATAGCAACTTCAGCAATAGGCATGATACATTGCAAACATTTTTTTTCTTTTTAAATTAAATGTACACCACAATGAACTTAAAAAAAAAAAAGCTATTGGTGCAGTAAGGAGAAGACTTCTCAGGTGTTACGGGGAAGGGGACCATGCATAGAAAGCTGTGTCTGTATATTCGTTGTAAAACGGGTCTATAAAGTGTAAAGCAGGTAACACAGTTGATACAAGAACCCAACTCTATACGAGATGCCAAGTGATGTCACACGACTGGCTCCAGTTTCAACAGCAATGGATATTAAAGCAAGTCCATCCAGTGCAGGTACGAGATGAGCTTCACTGCAGTAATACTGAAGTTGCCTTTTTTCAGCACTTAGCACAGTGAGGTGGGAGAGGGGAGGAGAAATGCTCCAAGAAAGGGCGGGCGGGCGCTCTCAGCCCCACTCTCCCGCCCGTGCCCGTCAGTCAGGAGGATTTCCGGGAGAGGCTGGCTCTCGGTGGGCGATGGGCACGTTGCTCCCTGCCAAAACCGTTCCCAGGAGCTTCAGGTGAGGAAGTGCTGATGTGCCGCCGCGTTGAGGCTCCGTGTCCGGTGGGATGGATGCCCTGGCACAGGGACGCGGGCGGGAGCTGCAGCCACAGCAGCGCTCAGGGACCTCTTTGGGGGAAGTTCCACAACTGTTTCCTGCCAACTGCTTCACATACGTGTTGGAAAAGGACATGGCTCTAAGTTTCAGGAATCACAGTAGTGCGCAGTGGGTACAGCAGGGAGCAAACACTTGTGAAACTCCGACAGAAGCAGCTCCCAGCCCTTTCTTAAAGCACTTTTTTTTTTGTTTGCATTCAGGGAAACCGACTGCAGGCTTATTTGATCCAATTTTCTCTTTGCACCATACACATATAAAACATTACAACTCTGTATAAAAGTACAAGTGGTTCTTGTACATCTGAATTATGCAGGAACTATGTGAGCAAATCCTATCAAAATAGCTATTTTTTGTGTGTATAAACAGCATTTGTTTTTAGAAAAAACAATATCATAAACTGCAGAATCTGTACAAAAATATAAAATAAATTTGGGCAGCAGTTTCTAAACAGCCATGTAAATGCAACACTTAAAGAGGAGCAGGTTAATGCCTCCAAAAGGCTGAATTGCTAAAGTCAACCTATACAGGGCTAAAATGGTATTGAGATTATCTAAATAATAAAATTTTTTACCTCTTGCAATAAAACTTATAGAAAAAATAGACAAGTATGCACATGCAATTTACAGCTTTCCCCAACATAATCCTTGTGCTTAGCTTTCACCTTTTTTTTTCCTTTTTTTTTTTTTGTAATAACATAACATTGTCTACAATACATATTCTTTCCTATACCAGGATATTCGGTCTTCCTTGAGGAACCACTTTAAAAAAAATACATTAGAAGTGGTCATACATGGATGAAGGCACTCCAACTCTGCTCGAAGCAAAAACTAGTGTGATCCTTTTCTTTTCAAAAAAGGCAAGCAAGGATGCATGCACAGTGCTGTGAATTGGGGCTGGGAGGAACTATGGAAATACTACCAAGTGTATATACTGGTACTTAAAATAAAAAACAAAACAAAACAAAACAAAACAAAAAAAAGAAGTTGCTATATTTCTAATATTTTAAGACCCAACAAGCACCTCCATGATGTGATCCAGTTCTGTGAGATCCATTTTGAAAGGCTGATTTGGAGTTACTGGCTGACTGCTGTACGGAGCGAGAGTTTTTAGGAGCTCATCTGCTGAGACAGGAGCCATTTTTGAGGCAGCCCCCGTGGCAGATGTGCAGGGGTCAAAATCATACATGGACGTATCAATGTCAGCGAACAGAATGTCATCCAGGGTCAAGTCTGTGAGGAAACCTGTGGAAGCTGTGATCTCAAAGTTGCCAGGTAGAGAGTCCATGAGTTTGGATTCAGCCGTTCTGCTCTCCGGGAGGCCCTCGGGCTTGTGGATGTTGGACTCGCTGGGATGGGCTTTAGAGTCATCGGCTGCTGTTTCGGCTGCTACTGCCTCTGCGGAGGTAGGTGCTGGACAAAGCTCCTCGATTTCATCCAAGGCTGAGGAGAAGCTGTCCTTTACTGGTTGGAGAGCGGGAGGTGGTGGTTTTGTCGGACCATCGTGCTGGACAGTCGGGGAAGTGCAAAAAGTGTCGTCCTCGAGCAAAGAGGCTGGGGTGAGGCAGGATTCCAGGGGCATAGTGCTTACGAAGTCAGTGGGGAGCAGGGGCTGGGAGGCGAGGTGGCTGAACGCCGGCTGGGCCTCGCGGAAGTTGTCGCTGAGAGGGTCGGCAGGCTGGGAAGCGGTCACAAACATGGGCCTCAAGCTGCCTTCTTGTTTGAGTTCTTCCTGGATTCGCCTCAACATGTTGTTAATTAAAACTGTCTTTTGCAAGCTTGGCTCGGTTAATGGCCTGTGGTTATAAAGTTTCATAAGGGAAATGTTGAAGATAGTCTGACGCTGTAAGGTGTAAGACACCTTAGAGGGACCGTCAGTGGGAGACACCACTTTGCCTTCCAACCCATCTTCATGCTCGTCAAACTTCCGCTTTCCTCCTTTCCCCAACATATATCTGAAAGGAAAGAGAGGAGACCCATGAAGACAGCAAAGCCCAGTGCCACACTGTCCACACAAATAACTCAGTCTTGGCCCACAGCAGCGTGATGAGGAAGCAGAAGCCGCCTTAACGCAGTGCCCTGGTCTATCCTGTTTCGGCGTTGGCTATGCTGGTAAATTCCAAGCAGGGATTCAAACAGCATCTCTAATACTCAAGATATTGCATGCTTAGCAGCAAATTTCCCTCTTGCACAAATTATGGTCCCCAAATATCTGCACAGAGGTGCACAGGCTACAGATACTGTACTGAACGTTTGTTTATGTTTCCTGACCGATGCAGTGCTATGCCTGGGAACACAAACTTAAAGCACCAAGGTTCTTACAATGAATTTCCTTTATTATTCAAAAGCTTGCTCACGGGGGAAGGGAAGCAAGGCTCAAGCAATTGTATATTAAGAGAAACCTTCCCAGAGAAGTTGGGAGATCCAGCCCTTCGGTACACCAGGATATACGCATATGGGTTTATTTAACTGATCGCCTAAGGACTGAACAACCAGAGCAGGAAATGCAGTTATTGCACTCAGAATTAGATAAATTACAGATAAAGAAGAAGATCTGTCAAGTCTTTTAGTCTAATCCCCAAGATCACTCTCTGCACTACACTCTGCTGTTGGTCAGATGGCAGATTTTGAAGGAAACAAAGGGGATTTTACCAAACTTGCCCCGCATTATAAATAATTTCTGAGCTAAGATTAAGTAGGGCAGTTCAATCCCCAGTGCTATCTCTTCCAGGATGTTTCACAGCGCCTGGAAATGCTCCTCTACACAGGACAGCCCCAACCTCATTTTGTCACCATTATTTTTGTGACATGAACATCCCCCCAAATGCAGATGAATGAAGGAATTGCTGTGTTGTGACAATAGCATGATCTGACATTCTCCTCTCTCATTTTCCCAGGTAGAGTGGTGAGGTGCTGGAGCCCTAAACCACTCACTCTTTTAATAGGATCACAGGCAGCTCCCTGTTCATTTTAACGTGTTTAACATTTTAGCTCTCTGTTTAACAAAACTCTAATAAAATGGCATGAAGATTTCTGCCTTGTTTAAAAAAAAAAAGTAGAAGAGGCTTTTCAGCCACAGCTACCCAGAAAGAAGCTGCAACAGCAATACAGACTTTTACCCCAAACCTGACTCCCCTCATATAATGTATCTACCGTCTAGGAGACAAAATTCACCTTCCTTGTTTGAGTACAATTCCCAATTCTCCCAGTGGGATTGGTGCCTGTGAAATGACTGCACCAGGCAGGTCTACCACCAGTTTGATGGTCATACACCAGTTCTGCAGACAGACCACGTAGGTAAGGACTTACAAACATCCCCAAGAATGAATGACAAACATTTAAGAGCAAAGAGGCCTTTGGAAAGCAGGAGAGGGGACAAAAGAAGCCAGAAGAAAAGGGCTTCAGAAAGCATTTGCTGGGTGGTAAATCCGAAATCAGACTGGGTGAAGTGAGCCTCTTCTGGTTAAAAATAAGTCCCAAATCCAGATAATTTTCTAGCATATTATGCAATTAAAAAAAGAAAGGCGGGAGGAGGGAGCAAGCTGAGCAGAGCTGAGGAACAGGTAGGCTGCCATCCAAGCTCCTTGGCCAGCTACCAGCAATTCCCGCGCCTGGAATCTTGGGTGAACAAAACCTCTGAAATTTAGCACTACTGCCGAAGTCTGGTTTTTCTCTGCTCCCTAGTGTCACTTCCACAGACTACTCCAGAGCTGTGCACATGGGTTTGGAGTGTGTGTGTGGGGGCTTTGCTGTTCAAATGTTCATGGTGGACACATTTCCTTCCACTTCGGACAGACAGAGCAAGAAAGGGAGGATCAGGCTAGCAAGAATCGAAACCCCTGCCCAATTCCAGCACGTTTTTAAAGCAGCAAGGCGTTAGGGGAAGAGGTAGCAGTTTTCCATCCCTTCCTGCTTTCTCCTCCCCTTGAAAAAAGGCAGACTCTGTCCTAAAGACATACCGATGCTCGTTCCGCAATACTCTGTTTAAAGAAGACTTTTTAAATGGCTTGGGGACTAGGAGAGTTTTGAAGTTTGTCAGCCTCTGCCAGGAATGTATACAAACATCCACTGTACAAAGCAAACCTTTTGCCCCACGATAAAGAAAACAGCCCAGGCTCCGTTCCCTGTGCTCAGTTATTAATCACTGACAGGCGACATCAGAAGCATTTCGAACGAACCCAATCGAGCCCATTTCCACCCAAAAGTGAGGTGCTGGTAGTTAACACGTTTTTTAAGCTGACCAGTTAAGAGCTATGGCATCATCATTAAGTAAACGCCACGATAACCTCGCTACGTCATTTTCCAGGAAGCTTAGAAATGATTCAAGGTTTCCTGTATGTGTGACTGTCAAGCTTTCGCATCTCACTCGATCTTCACGTCGCTTGATTCAGAGCTTGCCCTTTTAAAAGATAAAATAGATCAGGCAACTCCCAGTTTCACCTACTAGCTTTTCAGCACAACTTTCAGTTTCCTTTTCCCCCACTAATACTCTCTGAGAAGAGGGTTTAACCACTAAAGCACCAAAGCAGGATGCCAGCCTAAGCATGGGGGGGTTTATTCCACCAAGGAGGGGGCTCAACTGAGCACCATTAGACTCTCAGCTTTATAAAGTTTTATTTTATTCCCTTCTCCTCTGGCATGCAAATGGGAATTGCAAAAAATCTTTTCCTCTGGTTTTCATAAGTCACTTTATTCATGCTAAGTGAAGCAAGAAGACAGTATCTTTTTAGACCAACTGATAGAGTTGGTAAAACCAGACATGCTTGTGGGCTTGTAGGTCTTTCTCTGGTTCTTCATAAAGGAATTACATAGTTTCTGACCACAGGACCTTAAGACAGTGTTGCCTGCTTGTTCATTACAGTTCTAACCATCTCTTCACTCCTTCAACCAACAGCATCGCACCTACACTAACTAAAGAGATCAGTTTTGTATGTCTTTAAGATCCTGAACACTAATTTTTTTAAAAAAGGAAGCTGTACAATACCAGCATTTGATCTGAGTCAGTTCTGTTCATCCCAAAAACTTTGCTCCTAGCCTTCCCAGCCAAAGCTCTTGCTGGGAAAATGAAAATGCCAGACTTGCAGATCAGCTTGACCAGAAATCAGTACAAAATGAGCTAAACCTGCACCATACCAAGTGTCAAAAGACAGAGCTGTCCTACCAAGTCATACAGCCCTAACGGGGGCAGCCAGACAACAGCAACCCACCCAAAAGCAAGACTGGACGGGCAGAGATTAAGGGGCACGTGCGTGGAGGGTCTTTCATGCATCTATTTTGGCTGAGCACCAACCTCAGCCAGATGTATTTCTGCTGCATTTTCATCCATCCGCTAAACATCACTTTGAGGTCAAGTGTGAAGAGTTGAGACAGGACGTCGCTTTGTTGTTGTTGTTGTTGTTGTTGTTTTAATAAAGGGTGTTGCAGGGTTTTGGTGTGCAACCTAGTTTTCAATGTTACTTAGGTATGTGGAACCAGAAAGCTGAAGAAAGACAATGAATGGAAAAGTTGCACTTATCTGGGGATTGGGGTGGGGGGAGTTACTTGGAGATCTTCCCCAATATTAATCTACCACTTGGCTCCAGTTCTCAGACTCAGAACCAAAAGCTAAACCATTGTTGCTGAGAAAGATTCAACTTGCTTTTTTGCCCATTTAGGGTGATTGCACGCGCCTCAGCGCCAGAGAAACCCTAGCATTGTTTGGGAGTTGTCTTTTCTTAATTGAAAAACAAAAGTAATATTTTCTTTTTTTTTTCATTTGCATGTCATTTAGCTTCCTTTTATTGGCTCTGCATGCTTTTCAGACAGAGCTGGGAAAAAATGTAGTTGGGGCTCAGCAGAAGAGATAATCAGCCTGGAGCGGATGGTTCTCTGGAGTCGACCATCATCGATTAAACACAGGAAAGCTTGTGCAATGCCTGTGTCTCTGAGCCCACTTAGTGACGAATCCTTGCTCTCTGGAGCACAGAGGTACGTGCACGCTCTGAGAGTATTATATTTATTGATTGTGCTTCGGTTGTTACACCTTGTCACTGCTGGACTATATCTGAAGTCCTTAACAATCGGGAGTTTGGCGCAGAAAAAAAAGCACCAGATTGGTAAAAATTGAAAGGAAAAGTGATTTGGCTCACCAATAATAAAAATAATCTTTAATGTTAATTCTCAAACACTTTTAACAATTAAGTTTTGAATGTCTCTCAAGACTGAGGGCTCTTGGAAATCAATTCTACAATCCACTAGGCTCTCCCTCCTCATCAAGGCAGACAGGAAGGACAAAAAGAAAGAGGAACTGAACCCCAAGAACAGCGGAAAAGGGTTTTGAAGAAGTCATATTTCCACTGATAGATTTACGCCACCCTCTTGGTCAGTGTAGAGGATGAACAGCTGAATAGAGTGAGGTTCACTTTTAGAACCAACACCACGTTGCTCAAAAAGCTAAAAGCACCCAACCCCAGAGTCCACGAGCAATCATTCCTCCCCACGCAGCCAAATGTTGAAAGACAGGTGTGAACCACAGGGGCCTGTGCGAGAAGTGGAGTTTGACGCAGGACCAGTTACTTTCTGAAATCTTGGGTAATTAAAACCACGGGGGGGAAAAAAGGAGAGAAAAAGAAAAAGGCAACTTGGGGAAATTAAAATAAAACGCTACTTCAGACATGTGCATGAAACCCCCAACGAAAGCCCTCAGCACAAAAGCTCCCTATAAAAGCCCCCCAAAATACTATAAGAGTACTGAATTTGCACATTTCATTCCCAAAACAAAGTTTCACACACCTTAAGTGTAAGTGAACCTCACCAGGGTTTCTCAGAGAACCTATCCAGTGAATTATGCAAGTACTTTCTGTGTCACTTCTGGCACATGAAATACAACTTTCCTCCATACCTCACTCTTCATCCTTGAGGGTTCCATTGGCTGTATCCTGGCCCAACAGTAGTCAATGAGTGTTTTGTTACTGAC